GTTGGAACTATATGATCTTAAGGTCCCTTCCAGCCCAACCCAGTGTGTGATTCCCTGCCTGCCACAGATTCCTCCTGAGGGTGTCAAACCAAAGCTGATGGTGAAGCAGCTCCTGTACCGCAGCCTCCAGCTCTTTGCCAACGTGGTCTATGATGCCTTCCAGTCCTCCCAGGTACTGGTGGTGGAGGGGACAGCCCCTGGCACTGGGGTGGGTGAGACCTTTGTGGTACTGGGTGGCTGCTCCCTTCAGAGGGAACTCTGGTGGGGTTGGAAGAGGCTTCTGTGTGCGCTGTGGGTCCTTGGCAGCCTCTTGCCCCTTCCCCACAGCCATTGCAGGGCTGGCCAGGCCTGGAGCAGCTCTCAGCAGGCTGCAGGAGGAGCGTGGAGCAGATGCTGGAGGCACTGGAGGGGCTCCCCGAGAGCGAGCGAGCCAAGTACCTGGATGTCACCGGTCAGTGCATGGTGGGGGGGCACCAAACCCGGCTCCTTGGCCATGGTTTGGGTCACCCACAGTCACAGAGCTCAGGGTCTGTACCCGGGCAGTGATGAGGGGGTTCTCTGCCACACACAGGATGTGGCTGGTGGGGCTGGGCAGGGGGTGACAGTCCCTGGCTGGCCAAGGTTCTTCTGTCTCCAAGCACATCTTTAATGGTTGACTTTCCCTTGGGGCAGTGTCGTGCACCTTCAAGCTGGCATACATCTTCTACAGCCAGAACCTTCACGAGGAGGCGAGCTCCATCTGTGAACCCCTCTGCAAGGGGCTGCAGGCAGTGGATGCTTATGCATGTCCAGAGATACCCCCAGAAAGGGTAAGTGCTTGTCTGCACTTCCAGCAGTAACGGGGCTGACCTGGGCACTCGAGTCCCAGTGCCAGGGGTGCAGAGGGGAGGACAGCACCAGCTTCTGCTCCTGGAACAACCCCAGTTCTCTCCTCCAAGCTCTTCTCTTTGCCTGGGAAGGGAGCAGGAGGACAGGATGTGGGATACAGGGAGTTTGCTCCTGCGGGATGCTGACTCCTGCTCCCTGTGCTCTCCCTGCAGCTCCACAAATGCTTCAGGCTGCAGGTCGAGAGCCACCGCAAGCTGGGCTGGCTGGGGAGGGCCCTGGCCTCTGTGGAGCAGTGGCTGGGGGCGGGGACCTGCTGGCAGAGCCCATCTCCCTCTGGGTCCGAGTCAAATCCGAGGCTGGGAAGCAGGGGCACGAGGAGCTGCGCTTACGGTGAGACCTGGGCTGGGTGTCCCCAGCTCTTCCTGTGCTGGGACCATGGTGGGGCTTCTCCCTGTGAGACTGTGCAGGGGTCCCAGGGCTCAGAGAGGCTGGGGGCTTCGTGTCTCTTTGTAACCAGTTCAACACTCTACATCCCATCGTGGTTACGGATGCATGGTGCTGTCTGTGGAAGCAACAGGAATGCAGATTTGGAATTGCTGTTGGTCAATTCAATAACTGCATTAGCACTAAAACTAGCCAACAACTGAGCTCATACAGGAAACCAAATTAGACCAAGACAAATCTTGCCCTGCTCTTGGGAGGAGAGAGGAGCAAGTCCCTAGACTTGGTGGGGTCATATCCTCATCCAGAAGCTCAAATGGTCAATTTATACTTTCAAGGCCAGGGTGGACAGAGTCTTGGGTGACGTGGTCTAGTGTGAGGCATCCCTGCCCATGGCAGGGGGTTAGAACTGGGGGATTTTAAGGTCCTTTCCAGCCCAAACCATTCTATGATTCTATACTTTGAGAAGTGGAGGTGAGGCTGGAGTCAGATTCCTGGCTGTGGTCAAAGGTGGGGGAGCTGCTATCTCACTCTACTGTATTTGCTGTGTAAATGAGAGACAAGGAGAGTCTTGGCTGCATCCCTGGCACCCAGGGGCAGGACAGAACCGTGACACATCAGCATCGCTCCCTCTGCCACCCCGCAGGACCCACATCAGGGTCCCGCAGCTTGTCGCTCCCTTCAGCACATCTCTCAAGGCCTTGGGCCTCACCCTTACACCCACCTACAGCTCCCATTTCCCCTAGGACCCTGAAGGAAGGCTTGGAGGGGCACAACCTGGGTGCAGAGACCTTGGTGCCCATTCTCTTTGCGGAGCTGAAGGCCTACAAGAGCATGCGGGCTGACACGGGGCAGGAGCGCTACAACGTGCTGTGTGACCTGCTGGAGCTGTGCTCGGAGGAGAGCGGCCGCCTGCACGAGCGAGCTGTTGGCCTGACAGAGCTGGCCCAAGTGTTGTGCTACCACAGCTACTGCCAGCAGACTGACTGGTGGGTACACACCGGTGGCTGGGGTCACCTCCCAGGGTCCCCAAGGAGCAATCGAGGGCCCTCAGGGGGAGTTGGAAGCATCTGGAGTGTTACTGCTCTGACTCTGCGCTGTTTGGGGTCCCTCCCCTCAAAATGCTCAAGGGGTTCTGTGGGCTGAAGGCAGTTTCTAACCCTTCTCTCTGGCAGCTCCTCCCTGGACTCTGTCAAGGAAGCCTTGAGGCTGCTGGAGCTGGTGCCCAGGAGCACCCAGAACCAGGATCAGCTCCTTGATGACCGGGCGCAGGCTCTACTCTGGCTCTACATCTGCACCCTGGAGTCCAAGCTGGAGAAGGTGCGTGGGGGCAGCAGAGTGAGGCTGTGGGATGCAATATGGATCTGGATCCAGATCTGGAAATGCCCTGGGGGCTCCGTGCACCTCCTCAGCCATGCTGGCAATGCTCAGCTCCGCACCAGGGCCACCAAATGCCACCCGGACCTCACTGGAAAGCACACGGTGATCTCATAACATGCTGCATTCTTCTTCTTCTCTGCAGAGCATAGAGAGGGAGCAGAGAGCCAAAGCTCAGGGGCTGAGGAACCTGGACGACTTTGAGCCCAATGATCTCAACTACGAAGGCAGGCTGCTGGAGGACAGGTTCCTGTATGACGGCATCTCCTTCAACCTGGAGACAGAGACTGGTGAGGACGCTGGCGCCTTTGGGCCCTTTGTGAAGAGGCTTTGTCTGGAAGCACCTGGGTTTGGGTCAGGGTGTCTCAAACCTGTGGTGTGTCCTCAGCTCTGGCCAAAAACCTGGATGATGCCTTCACCTTGTGGAAGCAGCTCCTGGCAACGCCGGGGGTCCCGGCTGTGCGCAGCGCTGAGCAGACTGCAGCCTCCCTGCGCCTTCTGGCTGCTCTCTACAGGCTGACGGGGCAGGTAATGCTGCTGGGGAGGGGCCTGCTGGGCCACCAGCCTCCCCAGGCTCACAGAGCCCCTCTGACCTGGTCTCTGATTGTAACTGGGGGAGGGTTTCCTGCCCCGCAGCCTTTGCAAGCCCTGGAGAGCTACCTCCTGGTGAGAGCACTGTGCACTGCGCTTGGGGACAGCCTGGGCACAGCCAGCGCCCTGTGCCAGGTCACCAAGCTGCTCTTCCAGCTGGAATGCCCCAGCTCTGCCCAGGTAAGTCTGGCAGGGAGGGAAGGGGCCAGGGGGTGAGCTCAGCCGATCCCTGCGGCTGCAGCCCTCATCCTGCTGTGGTGTTTTCCAGCTTTTCCTGGAGGAGACAGAGTCCTGCCTGCAGAGAGCTGACAGCAGCGCCGATTCCTACGTGGTGCTGCAGCAAAGCTGCCTCCTGCTGCGCAGCCGCCTGTGCTGTGTCACCCACCGGGTGAGGCTCCTGCAAGGCCTCCTCTGCCTCAGGAGCAGTGTTGGAGGCCAAGAGGAGGCTGCAGCAGCTGCTGTGTCCTCAACATGAGGACATGGAGCTGTTGGAGCAAGTGCAGAGGAGGCCACGAGGATGAGCAGGGGCTGGAGCAGCTCCTGTACAAAGACAGGCTGAGAAAGCTGGGGCTGTTCAGCCTGGAGAAGAGAAGCTGCGTGGAGATCTCACAGCAGCCTTCCAGTATCTGAAGGGGGACTACAAGGATGCTGAAGAGGGACTCTTCGTTAGGGGCTGTAGTGGTAGGGCA